CCTCATCATACCATGAATATGCCTCGTTCAAACCTTATTAGGAAAAACCCAGTGGGACAAAATCCTAATGAAGGAAAAAGAGTACACCATTCATGTGAATACGTCATCCCTGTTGCCTCATTAAAAACCTTGCTAGGAAAATCCAATGGGACAAAACCTCAGCCAATATTCTCATTTCAGCTGATTTTATTCTCATCAATATCATTTATATAGCGCTATTCATTTGTTTGTGTCGACACTTATTCATTTCCATTATTCCCCATAATATATTTAGATATCACATTATCAGCTGAATTCATCAATAGTATATACATGCCCCATTTCATCACTTATTTGGGGAATTTCAATTTGTACAATACCAACGCTTCCAGCGTATTATTCCACCATCATATCATTTCATATATTTGACCACCATCAGAATCATTCAGTTTATGATTTGCACACTTTCAGCGTGTATACATCATTCCAAATTTCAATAATTAATTCTTCCCCTCATCTTAACAGATCCCTGATCTGTATTTCAGTATTTAGTTTCTTGAGGGAAGTTCATATAATCTCCATTTCGTTCTAGATTTCAATATATAATATGAGAACTTTGAACTCATATCACTTGTAATGTGCACATTTTTCATTCAAGAGTTCATCATATCAGCTGAGTATTACTAGCTTCATCACTTTCATATGACACATATTTTCATTCTTTCATAACCATCTTGTGTCATTATTTGACCAAACCATCTCGTAACTTCAGGCTACGTGTCATATATTCATTATTTGATAAAATCATCTCGTAACTTCAGGTTACGAATCACAAACATGTGACTATCTAGTGGATCCATATTATCTAGTAGCACACATGGAGGGGTTGTGGGCCCATATATATCGTACCCCTTTCATACTTAGTTTGATAAAATATCGATTCACAAATATTTAGCTAGTAATACTTTTCATCAGTCGATAACAAAGTATCTCATATCTCAAAGAATCAGTTAATCATGCAAACTATCATCATTTATATCAGTAAACATCACAATAATTCATTGTGACACATTTATAACTAACATATCACATCATCTTTCAGCGGCAATAAATGCACTTCAAGTCCAGATTCTGACACACAATATTTAAATCCAGAATCGTATCACATGCGTATCATTCCTTCTGTCACACAGACTTTTTGCTTTTAGAGTCGCATACGCATCATTTCTATAAATTATCAGGCCATTCATTCAACCTTTTTGAACAGAGGTCCAAATTTACAAATGGATTTGGCACAAACAAATATCGGTAAAAATTATTCTTTACTCCCATTAAATATCACTAAAAGGATTTATCAATCTCTATTAGAAAGATTGAGAGTGTTAATGATTAATGATATACCATGTGATATCCGATGGTTGATTGAAGCAAAAGTTCGATTATCGGGAAAGTTTCTAAATTCATACAAATATATACCAGGTATGGGTAAGAGTACTTTGCAAAGAAACGAAGAGCAAAAAGTTTAGGTTGATGCTTCAAATGCACTCGATGGACTTGTGACACACGATGTAAATCATTGTGATTCGTGTCAAAAAAAACGAGAAGATAAAATATCATTTATAAATGATGGATTGAGTAAGAAGTCTATGGATCAAAAGATTCAACAGATTCTTGAGACACATCCTAGTGGGTATGTGCATCGTGAGCTTATGTCTTTATGGATTCAGTTCAAAGATGAAGAAGAACGTTATAGTCTTGAAAATATTATTTCAAAAGATCGAATTTGTAAAACTAGTCTTGTTATTACAAAAATCATACTAATGAAGTTTAGTAGTTGCACTGTAACTTCCATAAATTTTTATAGCTGCTGGCAGATAAGATTTATTTATAATCCAATACATTATCTATCAGTTGCAATTGTCAGAAGAAAACAGTAAAACTTTTATCGTTTTGTAAAACTTTTCTTTTAAATAGCGAGTCGTTCATCATAATCTTATGCCTCAAAAAATTTTGAAAAATTCAGTTTATCAATAAATAGATGGATGTTTCAGAGTCTTCGCAAGGTAATAAATTTCTTCAACCGATCAAAACCATGTATGTTCTTGGTGGTTCTAGACTGGTAAGTTTTTCTCAAAATGTTGATATTTTAAGTCAGTTAGTAAGGGATATGGGAAATCAAAAAATCAATTTACTGTATGGAGGGACTAGCATCACTTTCATTGATAATCTTTTATTGGCTGGAAAATGTTTTGAGATAGAAGTGAAAAGTATCATACCTTTTCATAGAGTTTCAACAAGGGTCATCAAGGATTCCATAAGCATGATGCTAACTCATTCTATTTATGATTGTATGATGGATATGGTGAACAAGAGCAATGCATTTATCATTCTTCCAGGCGGTTATGGAATGCTAATGACAATGTTCACTATTGCTTCTTGGGCAGAATTGAAACTTCATGACAAGCCCATAGGTCTATTGACTTTTAATAACTTTTTTCATTGTTTGCTTGGACTTTTAGACCAAGGAGTATATCAAACCTTTATATCTCCTCCAACGAGAGAGGTATTCAAATCTGCAGATACGTCTACTGAGCTTATCAAAAAGCTTCAAGAATGCATCACATTTCAAGATTCTGTGGAAACATAAGGGGTCAAGTGAAAAAGAACTTTTGATCCTTTACATCTCTCATTATGAACCCAAGTGTCAACCATGCACCCTTCTTTTATGGGTTCTATCATGTAATATTTTTACATTTTGTATTTGTCGAGGATTTACTACCTCTTATCCATATTTTCATCATATGAACTTTCTATACTTTTTTCACAGTAATAATAATATTAATTTAGCATTTCCACAAGATAAGCGTGTAGTACTTCATGACTACAATCATTTACCATATCGCTTCTTCTGGAACACATCATTGTAATATTTATTCTCGTATTATCAATGTGATCTTGTCACCAGATGTCTTCCCTTAGCCTCATATAATATATTGCAAAATCATTTTGTGTGATCACTCATAACTGGTAGCTTTTAATATCATTTTCTCATTTTGTTCAATCATCTTATGGTAGCTTCAGGTACATTTCATCATAATGTGGTAGCTTTCAACACCACTATACCACGATATCATTTAATCATTAGATAACATTTAGTATCACATCAGTCATATGATATCTTCTGGTACCTTCATCCATTTTTTGTTTCTCCATTAATAATTTGGAGAATTTATCAACTAATTCTTCAGGATCATATCAGTCCATATAATGTCTGTTCACGATAAATACTTTAATTAACTTTCACATGGCTAGATACAAAGTATCATTAATTTTACTCATCTGCTATCACTTATTAAACTGCCCGACGCCGGAGGCAGAGCCGCACTGGCCGACCCATGTATATATATAGCCATTCATATTTTGTTGCACGTGGACTTACCACCTGGCCATTCCCTATCACCGGCTATTGTTAATAAATACGCTTATCATTTGGCCATCATCGGTCATCATTATTCAGTACACTTATCATCTGGCCATCACCGGTCATCATTAATACGTCGATCGGTCCATTTAGTTGTTGAAATCGTTTACTGTATGTTGCTGGTGGCCACACCGCTCAATCATTTCTCATGATCATTCATACTTCTTTATAATATTTCGATCATCTGCCATGCTGAGTACCAGTTGCGCCTCCTTATGGAGGAAGATTTCTGGAAGCAGAAGGCTGCTGTGCGCTGGGTGGCTGAGGGGGAGCGTAATACCAAGTTCTTCCAGGGATTCGTGAGGCAGAAGCGAGTCAAGTCGTATATCCATAGTGTCGAGGATAACGGGTCATCCGTGACCCAGGAGTCCCAGATACGGGAGTCGGCTAGGGCTTACTTCCACTCTCTCTTTTCTTCTGAGCGGGACTTGCTTACGCATCCTGACCCGGCCCTCTTTCCGACCATCCCGCAGTCGGTCGATCTTGTCGACCTCTATGACCTCCCGAGTAAGGAAGAAATCAGGGAGGCTGTTTTTGGGATTGATCCCAACAGTGTCTCCGGTCTGGATGGTTTTTCGTCCCGCTTCTTCCAGTCTTGCTGGGAGATTGTGGGTACTGACGTAGAGGAAGCTGTGAGGGAGTTTTTCTCTGGACACCCGATGCCAGAGTCCTTCACGGCAACCTCCATCATTATGATCCCGAAAAAACCGGGACCTAGCTCTTGGTCTGACTATAGACCTATCAGCTTATGTAACGTGACCAACAAGATCATTTCTAGAATCCTCAATAGCCGCCTCGGCCCTCTCCTTCCCCACCTTGTCTCTCCGAACCAGAGTGGATTCATCAAGGACCGAGTCATTAGTGATAATATCCTGCTGGCTCAGGAGATGATACACGATATCTCTCATGCGAATCGGACACGAACCCCGAACCTTGTGCTGAAGCTAGACATGGCCAAAGCATACGATAGGGTCGAGTGGTCGTTTCTTAAAGAGGTACTGTTTCGGATGGGATTCCCTACCCGTTGGATTAGCTTTGTGGAGGCGTGTGTGGAGCACTGCACATTCTCCGTTTTGATTAATGGTAGTCCCACGACCTTTTTCCCTTCTACCCGCGGCCTCCGCCAAGGGG